CCCCAGACCTTTAATCAACTATTACTCCAAGGAGCCATGGTTACCTTTAGTGGATAACAGGGATCCTTCAGCCCGGATTCCCTACCAAACAGATTTTGGTGCAATCGCAAGGCAGCATGAATAAGGGAAAAAGGAAATGAGTCAGGAAAGAATGGGAAGAAAGGTACAATGATATGTACCCAGCTTTCATTGTTTTATGCTAATCCGTGATGGAACTACATCCTTTTTTTTTTTTTTTTTTTCCCTTTTTGTCTTTTTTCTTGACCGACAACGGATCGCAACCCTCAGTGTCGCGCCCGTACCGGACCGGGACGGCTATGGGATCGCAACCCTCGGTGTTGCTCCCGCACCTCGCTCAGCCAGTGAGCGGCGGGTCTGTATGTGGGATCCGACCCCTCCGCGGGAGCGCCTCCGTGCTTCCCAAGCGGCGCACTGTAGCAGTGCGCCACTGGGCCGGCCGGAACTACATCCTTGCCAAATACATCTGCATGGCCATGTGGGGCATCTGTAGGTAGACTGTATGAAGAAACCATCCTTTGTGCAAAAGAGAGGAGCACATTCATCTCTCTGGCCCTGTTTGTCTCATCTCCCTCTGGTCAAAGATCACTCCTCCCTTGCCCCCAGGGAATTATTTTTGTGCATTTCTCTTCTGCATCATCCAACACTTTTCAGAGCATGTTGGGCAGCCAAATCCTATGCCCCCTATTGTGACATTTTGACTGAGTATAGAAGTTGTGAAAAGGACTAGAACTCCAGGTTGATCTGGCTTTGAGAGCAGTGGCCAAAGGGTAGCACCCAGTGCTCCAGGTCAAGGTATTTGTTGGTCCCATGTGGTGGAATGAGTGGACCTGATGGGAATTAGCATGGTGGTAGCTGAGGTGGAACAAGCATCTCAGCATCTGGGAGGCAGTGAGGCCAAGGGAATCTGGAGAGGTACATAAGATGTGTTCAGTATAGAAACTTGTAATAATTTAAAAAATATAATTTTAAACACCTGGAGTTATTTCTTCAATTTTTTCCCTTTTGCTCTTAGAGTAATCTGAAAAGACCTGCGTTTTTGCAAAAAGATGTTACTTTTAGAAAGCAAATTCTGGGTTGTTTGAGTTAGGACACTTCTAGAGAACACGCGTCATTCCCATCATATTCCATTAGCTGGAACTCAGTTGTCTACAAATAAGTTCAAGTAGTGCTGGGAAGTGTGGTTTAGCTGTATTCCTAGGGAGAGGAGGTAACAGGTTTGCTGAGCTAGTTTCTGCAACATAGGTAATGTTTAGCACTGGAATATTTCTAAAGTACTGTGGTGATGTTCTCTCAAGCAGTTACTGGTTCCTGTTAGAGGCTAGTATGTAACATGCCACAGAAGTCACTGATGAAGGGATCCAGATGTTTGGCCAAATAAAAGACTTTTTTTTGGTAACCGACATAGGTTTAATTCAAAATTAGAAAATAGAAGAAGCCATAAAGATAGGAAATTGGCCATCTCAGAATATTTGTAAGTGTTATGATATAGCTGAGCCACAAGTTGATAAAACTTGGGTTGCTAACTTCTTTTACTATATTCCGACGTTCAGGTCGAGATGCAAAGGGAATGTAAGAAATGATTATGTTGTTTATTGAAACTGCAGTTCAACTTTATGTGGTAGGAGCAATGAGCTATTTAGTGAATTTTGTTTTGATCCATTTAATGCAGTGCAATGTAAAACATTTATTCTTGCATACTTACGAATCATTAGCAATATGTATTTCACAAAGATGCAACTCAGTATTATTACTATTACATACATATTGGAAAACAAAATAGAAAGCATCAAGGCTGTGTATTATGATATTTTTTGAGAACAGAAGTTTCTTTATTAACAGCATAGAAAATTAAAATAGGTTTTATTTGGTGTAAGTTTCTCCTTTTCATAAAAAGTTATCTTAAGGGACAATGATCTAGTATTTTATTACAAATACTAAAGACCAAGACATGGAGTTATATCCATGTTCCTTGTTAAAAGGTTTTAGTGATATTTTATAGGTGGCTATTTCCGATAAAATCTAAAGCAGAGGGCTTTTCAAGTTTTTATTATGGAAAATATTAAACTTAACACAAAAGTAGAGAATAGTATGATAAATGTTCACCTCCTATCACTCACCATCAATTATGAATATTCTACTATTCTTGTTTTATATATTCTTCTCCCCAAATTCTGTTTATTTTACTTGAATATTTTAAGGCAAATTTCATACCTCGTATTATTTTACATATACATACTTCAGCATGTATCCTTTCTTAATAAAGACTTTAAAAAATAACTATTAGTACTGCTATCATTCCTTCTCCCACATCTAATATTCGGCTCACATTCAAATTTTCCCCATAGTCTCAAAGGCATATTTTTATAGTTGGTTTGTTTGAATCAGGATCCCAAGAAATTTCATACTTTGCATTTTGCCGATGCTGCTCTTCAATCTATTTTAATGCCATAGCACTTCCTTTCCTCATATTACATCTGCATATCATCTATTTATGGAAGAAACTGCCTCTTTTGTCCTGTTGAATAACCCACATATAGAATTTATCCGATTTCTTCCTCGTGATATTATTTAAGAAGTTCTTTTTTCTTCAGCACTTCTTGCAAAATAGCAGTTAAAATTGTGATCAGGTTCATAATAAAAGTTTTTAAAACAAGAATACTAAAGAGGTAGTGCTGGATACATCCTATTCTATCATATCAGGATATACTTCCTGTCTGTCTGTCTCCCTTTCAGTGATGTTATCATCAGTGGGTCCAGATGGTGGAAGCCTGCTTATCTAAGTGTTCTTCATCATCATTTTACTCAGCGGTTTTAACATCTAGGGATAATCATTGTCTGACTAAATTATTTATTTATTTTTTAAATTCTATCATTCTTTTTGCATTTATTAGCTGTGATTGTTCCATAAAGTTTAGCTATCGTTTGTGAACTATTTGGTTATCCTGAAACACGGTCCTTACAGAAATGGAAGGATAATTTTTTAATTCTTTCCCTTTCTATAACAATTATAGAAAAGGTGACTCCCGCATTTAGTGAAGATAATCAATGATTTATGTGGGTGTGTTAGTATGAAAGCGTGAAATTTTAGATAGGCCATGTGTTTTAATCCATTGCTGTCACTATTCTTGTTGAGCTCAAGTGGTCCCCCTTTCGCCAGGGGGAGACTTTTAAGTTATCCTTTTGTCATGACCACAGTAGTCTTAATAGGTGCTATAAGTCCCAGGTTCACCTTGTACATTTCCTTTTCCTACCTGAAACCTTAAAGCAGGCATTTCTCCAAAAAAGTCCTGATTCCTTTTAGTGGTAAATGGAATTTGGAGACCACAATTTGTGCATTATTAATGCATTATTTATATTATTTGTGCATTACGTGTGTCCATTATTCTTCTAGTCCTTTTCAGTGAACAAAGCTAAAAAAGAGGTTATTTTTCTAAAAAAAGTTTAAATAAAATACTAATTCATATTGACATTTCTATGAAGATTACAGGTTTTATTTAACTTTAAAGGTTTTTTATATATGTATCGCTTTTATCCTGAAATTTTGCCCTTTTAACACTTTTAATATTTATATTTTTATATTTGGTTAGTTCAAAAATACTACTAGTTACGCTACTCACAAGAAGACCAATGAACATAATTTAAGATTGTGTGTGTGTGTGTGTTGTCCTTGGAGTGTATGTCCCATTAGGGATATACTGTCAAAATACTGACTTGAAATACTTATCTATGTGTTTATAATTCCTCTATAAAGAAAAACTTTAACTTATCATTTAGTTGATATGCGCAGTTGTATTTAGGTTCTTTTTATCCCATTTATTCTCAATTTTTGGAGGTTGCTTTGTTTTTTTTTTCCTTTTAGCTCAATTTTTAAATTAATTTAAAACACTGTGGAGTTCCAAAATCAAAACTATGAAATAAGTACATTGAGAAAGAACTTGCTTGTATATTTGTTTCCATATCCTATTCTCTTTCTCCTCAATGTGTAACAGACTTTTTTTAGTCTTTAGTTTATTCTTTCATTATTTATTCTTGAGAATATCAGCAAATGTGCATGTATTTTTCCCACTTCTTACACAAAAGGGGGCATATATTTTCTCTTCTGCACCCTTTTCATTCATTTAATGTTGCCTATTTTTGCTAGTCTATTTTAGAGATAGATCCCTCAATGTGGGATTGCTAGGTCAAAGGGTAAATCGATACAACATTTTACTAGATATTGCCAAATCCTTTTAATCAGATTTGTATCATTTTGTTTTTGAGAAGATTTTAAAAATAAGCATTCCCTAGTCTTTGATCTACTGAATCAGAACTCAGAGATTTGGGCTCCTAGGTGAGTTGGGTGATCACCCAGGTTTGGGAAGCCTGTTCTAAAGAAAATTTTAAGGCCAACATTAAATTAAGTCTAATTTATTGCTCACTTGATATGTGCTAGGTACTGTGCTAGGCATTGATAAGAGGAATCCCAAGATGAACATAATATTGTATCCTCTGGGTGATCCCAGAGACTGGATAGTGGAGGAGAAACATTTATAACCAAATCATTGTAATACCTCGTGACTGCTGGTATAATAGAGATGGTGCTAATGGGGGACAAAACAGTGAATAACTGCCTATAAGAACTGCACCTGGGATAGATTGGGATTGACTATTCCTAATAAAAGCAGAAATATGCATTTAACAAATTCTTTACAAAACTGATTTAATCCAGTTTCCTTTCCTGAAAAGAAATAAATCATGAGTTTAACCCTGAACTTATCCCATCTGTACTTGCTTTTTTGATTGTTTTATTCTTTGACTTACTTCAGTTTTCAAGTTGAAACTACCACGGACATCTATGGAGATTTTCCAACCTAAAATTGTAACAGTATGCAGAGTCCTAACATAATGACATTTTCATGTGAAAACATTACTATAATCATGAGCATTCCGTGCTCTTCATGAAATAATAATGTCATTCATGTAGTTGACAGGAGAGCAGATAAAAGTCAATAAAAAGAGAATTATTTATTAAAAAGATCTAATGTTACAAGAACAGTACACAGAACTATTATCTGACTGTGCCTTCCACATGGTATATACCTTATATATATTATATATACAGATTGTATACAATATATTTAACGGTTTGACATGGAGTCCACAGTACCTTCATTTGGGTATGTAAAACATTTAAATTTCTAATTATAAGGAGTGTTGTTTTCTTCATAGTTTGACATTATACAAAAATACAGTCTCTTTAGTGATTTAAGACTGTGGGGTTACTATCCCATCTAAGAAAAAACTCATTTAGTACTGCAGTTGAAAAGTAATGTACCTTGCTAAGGAATGCTTTTCTGCATTCTACAAAGTAACAAATATGTAATACATTAGTACATAAACATTGAAAACCTGTTTTTTAAAATAGGTTTATGATGCAAAATACATATTCTGCGCATGTTGATTAAAAACATCTCATATCTCTGATTCCTGTAAGAATACATCAGACATTCTAGATGTAAATATTCTTTCAGATATGTACCATCCATCAGCTAATTGTAAATATTGGTTAATTTGAATTTGCCATATATTGACATTATATTTTACTGGGCTTTGCTTTATAAGAGTGTTAGTAATACCTTGATTCTTAAATCCCTTCACTAAATCTAGTATAGAACATTATGAGAAATGAAGAAAATGGTTTGCTTCATGAAGTATGTAAAAATTGTCTTCTGTTTTTTAATATTCTTTTTTCTTTTTCTTTTTGATACACAATTTATTCTTGCAAGTTACACCATACCTGGGAAAGCTTATGTTTTGCCAGCTACACAGTTAGTATCCCACTATTTACAAAGTTCAGTCTCTCCCACTCCAAAGGAGGCATTCAAGAAAGGCCACTTGATTTGTTACAGGCTTAAATATTCACCGTGTGTAGTGTTTACTATAATAATCTGTTGACTAAAATAGTCTTTTAAATCATTTCCTGTTTGTTTAGGGGTGTCTTAGGGGACATAATTCACCCCCAAAGAGAATGAATAACTGACATATATAGCTATAGGTGGCTGTAAGACTTTTAAGGATGTTCAGAACAGAAACTTTAATCTCCCCTCTGATCCTACAAGAATTAACCTCAAGAGCCAGCAATTTGAGCTCAATATTGCTTCATTTTGCTTGTCATTAAAGATGCAAATAAAGTTAACAGGTTTAGATTACATAAAAGAAAAGAAACAAAACTGCTTTTTACTCACATATTGACAACACCTGTAAAACTATAGTTTCTCCAGGCTCTTTTCTGACATATGACTTTGCAATAACTATCCTTTCAGGCATCTTCATGGGTATAATGTCAACTCTAGCACATCCTCATGTTTGTTACAATTTCTTAAGATATCATCAAACAGAACACTTTTACTTGCTTTCCAACAACTATCTAGGATTGTTTAGGCTCAAGTTGACGCCTCAAATAGCAAATGGGGATTGTCTCCCAAGCCACAGAATTAATCTGTGCATGGCTGGCTAGACTAGCTAAGCTCCTGTACTGATGCTATGTTTCCACAGCTTAATTTTTTAAAAATCAATTTACCCAAGAGATCCTTTTTATTTTAGTAGTTGGTAAGATTTTATATGTGGTATGCAATGCATGAAACTGTTTAAAAAATCAAAATTTATTTGTGATGCTTGAACCACTTTAATCCACAGACTATGCATAATTATTTGAACAACAAATTTTCATTGTCCTTAAAATTATTTGCAATTGGAATAAAACCTTGGACCTGATTTAACATCTGCTTTGGCAGTAGGTAGAGAAATAGAAAAGCTCTGTCTCTTTGCTTTCATTTTTAGGTTAGCACCCCTGGCAGCATGTCAGTGTCTATAGTTTTTAGTGGTCATATTTTTTATGTGACTTTAAACTATCTTTTGTTATTAAAAAAAACATTTACTGTATTTGCTGATAGATGACAAAATACTTGATGAAAAATAATAGCACTTCAATTCATTTGGACTCACTTTTTGTTTACCTTGCACTAATGTAAATGGCTTATTCCCTACCCTAAAAACTTGCTCTAGGGGTGCATATAGAATAGCATATTGGTAAATCTTGCTATTTCACTGTGCAATAATACAATATTGTTTGAGAAAATTTTTGTGTACTTATCCTATAATGGACCACATAACTGAAGTATTTTCCATATCTCTTGTTGGTTTGGCAATTGAAGTAGTCAGCTAAAGGCAGAATGAAAAACACTGGACTCAGCCTTAAGCAAACCTTTCTTTCTCAGTTTTGTATTTGCTTTTGAAACAGGTCTGCTAGAAACCACTTACTTAACAAATGGATGGCACACGCTCAGAGTTATCAGATATAAAATCAAATTCCAACATATCAAAAAAGTAAAGAATACATTTGACAGAAATTACCTTTTCTTACAAAAATTCATTACATACAATCTGCATATTTTTATTGGACCAAGAACTGTCCTTTCCATTCACAAAAATCAAAGAGAAACCTGATGGACAAGTAATATTCTCCCCCAACCTCCTGTAAGTGCACCATGTGTAGTCCCAAGTTTTTAAAGCTCATCTCAGGATCCTGGGGTCTCCACTTACACTACACTCTATTCACTGCTGTTATCCGGCTAAAGCAAAGAAAAGCAAATTAAGTCAGCATTTTCACCAGTAGGTTGAAAGAATCATTAATGCCAAGAACAACGTTACTGATGATGAAGGTGTGCAGAAAGTGTGGAGGGTCGACTGAGCACTTGTGATTTTTCCACCTGCGAAAAAAGAGAGCACCAAATGGAGCAAATTATTTTGGCTTTGCTTGGGCTAGACAAGAGTTGTTTTCAGTATATAAGACAAATGAACGCAACATTGGTCCTGCTTCTGATTAGGGTGTTCTTCACACTTATGAAAGAAGACATTGTCTGAGGTTTCCAAAGTTACATGGAGAATAGAAGTATATATGGAATACTGGGTTGTAAAGTCTATATCATGTCTAACAAACATGGCTAGAGGATTTAATGTAATTTTCACCAATGATACACTGAAGGAAAACCTCCCAAATTCCAGGTATGAAAAAGAAAATAATTTCTACAGTGCATAGTTTAGGAAATGGAGCAAAAATAATTAGCAAATTTTGTGACATTATAAATTCACAATTACTTCAGTCAATTTTTCGATTTAATAATAATGAAATATTTTATTTATTTATTTATTTATGGGTCCTTGATTGATTATCTCAGTTGGGTAGATTTAAATTCTAGATTCTCATGTCAAACTTGGCAAAGGAGGGTCATCTATCAACCTCACTTACACCCAGGGGAAGTTTTTCTGTCTTGAGACCAAAACATTACATGAAGTTGATGTATTAGAATGGTTATTTTATTAAATTGACTGATCCAAGTTGATTGGTCTACAGAACTTCGATAGCTCCACATAGTCACAAACTAAGTGCAACTTTTGGATACTAACTTCAGGAATGGTTCTCTAAGCCTTAAGTTTTCTGAAGCATCAGCATGATAATTGATAGCTAATGAATGCTTACTATGTGCCCTGCACTGTACTAAGCCCTTTATACAGATTATCTTATTTGATCTTCACAACATTCCTGTAGGTAACTATCATTATTTATCCCTCTCTTGCAGATGAGGAACTGGACTTTACAAAGATTGTAGGTCTTGCTTAAAGTAACTGAGCTAGGGATTAGTGGATCCAGATGCTCTTATGTACTGTCTCTCTTAAAACAATGGTTGGCCTTGGTTAAAACCTTAATAATGAAAGTAAAATATACAACCCAATTTTTGTAATCTTCTTAAGTCATTTGTCCTCTCTGGCCAGAATGAGTGTAATGGAATTCTGGGTGTGATTTTCATTCAGTGATAGAGTCTAAATTTATTATCTAGACACTTACTTAAGAACTAAAGAATCATTTGTTTGGCAAATTCTCTCTCTCTCTCTCTCTCTCTCTTTCTCTCCCCCCCCCCACCACAGAGCAGCATATCTTCTTTCCTTTGAAAATGTTTTACAGCTAATGCACTAACAAAACCTTTTAATCAACATATTGGAGAATGTAACATATATTCCAACTTGCACAAAATGGGGTTATGGTGAAGTGCATGGCCACATGTGAGCTATAAGAAAGTCAAGATGACAAAGCCTTGCTGGAGTGGTATGTGCTGCTTAATAAATTAAAAATGTGAAAACATCCTTTCTATTTATTCGAGAGTTGCTGCGTCCTTGTTAAATCAACTTACATGACACTTTTACAGGAACATCTCACTTTCAGAATGCTAAGTAGGGTCTGTATCTCAAATTCCAAATAAAATCCACAAATCTAAAACATTATTTTGGTATAACAAAACAAAGCAAAAAATACTGTAGAACAACAAAGTTGGACTAAGTTCTAGCCCCAGCTGTACAACTAAGTAGCTGTTCCACTTGGGCAAGTCATTCAATTTCTTAGGCTATTTGTTTTTGGAATGTGGTAAGAATGAAACCAGTTATTGCTCAGGTTCTATGGATCTAAGGTGGACAGCACTATGAAATTTTGCTTTATTGAAATTCAGGAAATGGGTAATTAACCAAAACATAAAAGTTGATGATTTTTTTTTTCATATGATAGAAGTTACAAGTTAATTAAAATATAAATGGAAGAATCAAGGTCTTTATAAGTACTTCCAAGCTTGGGGCTAAACTTACTCAGATTATACTGTAGACTCTTATTGTGTTGGAGTTGAAAAGAACCTTAAAGAGTCAGAGAATGAAAAGCTATATGAATAAAAGAAAAAATTCACCCAGATTTCTTAAATTTCGACATTTTATAGTCTTGCTTTATCATTCTCTCTGTAAATATATACATTTTCCCTGAACCACTTGAAATGAAACTGCAGACATGATGCATCTTTTCCTTTAAATACAATGTATAGTTTCTAAAAATATAACCACAGTATAGTTTATGAAAACAGAAAATTCATGTTGATGTAATATTATCTAATCTACAGGTAATGCTTAAATCTTGTATTTTTATGTGAGAGTTATGTCAATAGATTTTCCTCAAAGTTCTAGTTTGTTCTATTCTTTTTTACATGATATTTGCCTTTCATCTTACTTGGTAGCATCAAAAAAAAAAAAAAAAATCAAAAGCAATGCCTCTGGTCAGATTCCAAGTTATAAGTATGTTGAATAAGATAGGGCCACATACAGAGCCTTACAGGATATCACTGCAATCTTCTCTTTAGGTTGATAACTGCTTGGGAATGATTGGTCAGCAAATAATGCTCGTAATTACCCATTCATTAAATGCACATTAAAATTTTTACACAATATTTTAATGATAATTGCCTTTTACTTTCTTAGAGATTTGCATATCTAATTAAATCTTTTGCCTTTTTGACTACCTCAACAAAATGGTAAAACTCTCTTCCAAATTTGTAAAATCTTCCTTCATTTAATTATTTTTCTCTTGCCGGAGTAAGAATGATGGTGGTGGTGAAGATACGCTGTCTTAGAGAAAAGCATATCTAGGTTTGAATACTGGTTCTGCCACTTAGTAATAATGCAGTTTTAGCAAGTTACTTAAACATTCTCCATAAAATAGGAAAAATACTACCTAATTCATAGGATGTGACTAAGATTAAACAAGATGACATACGTGAAACACTTTTGACTATGCAAAAGCTAGCAATTATTAATATTACTACTACTACCACGAATGTTCAATAAAATTTATAATTTGTTTAGAAGTCAACAAACATGATCAAATTTTGATTTTAAAAGCATTCCCTCAAACTCCCATTACCTAACAATAAAGGCAATCAAGACAGTGGAAAAGCAGGTATGTTAAATCACTGTAATATCAGTTTAAAAGCAATATTCCAAAACCCAAATGGCCAGCAAGGTACTACTTGAGGCCAGGATAGGTGAGGAAATTTTACAAATGAGTACATTCCAATAAAAATCAACTCCTTTCTAGATCTGTAGAAATTCTGCAATTGTGAGCAGATTACCATGGTTTACATTACTCAAAGGATGATATGGAAATCACAGTGAGAAGAAAACCCCTCAAAATCTCCATTATATCAATTTTGATGAGTTTTACGGCATCTTGACATTGTGGTGGTCATCAAATTAAGCTTATTATGTCAAAACTTACCTGAATATGATGGTACCCTGATTTGGGAACTAGCTGTTCCATCCCCTCCTTCACTGTGTGCTCGGACTTCAATGATATAGACTCCAGGGTCAGGGAGTGGTACTACTGCTTGAGGTTTCTGTGTTTCAATAACTTCACTGCTGCTGTGACCCTCTTGCCTATAAAAAACCTAAGAGTAATAACAAGGGTTAAAATATTTGATATTCAATTAAAATCTTTAATTGTTTATTGACTACCTATTGTTCATCACATTCTGAGCTAAGCACAAGGAGTTTATAGCCTAGACAGATATATAATATAATGCATGTAAGCAAATATAATGCATGTGTTCAATACTTCAATGAAGTATACATAAGGGGCTATGGAAGTACAGAAGAGAGAGTTTACTTCTGTCTGGTGATTTAGAGAAGACTTTGTAGAGGAGGTTGTGCCTGAGTTAAGTATGTAAAGATGAGTAGAGTTCACTAATTGGAGAAGGGGAGGAGGAGAATTCCAGAGAGACTAAAGATTAAAAAACGTGTCTAAGCAATAAGAAACCATGGCCAGAGTACAGAATGTCAGTACATGTCAGAGTACAGAAACAACCTATTTCATGGTTTTGTTAGGAGAATGAAATGACAGGGTGTGTGTAAAATAGCTAGCTCAGGACCTGCTGCATGAAAAGCTTAATAGGAGAAAGCAACTTCTGTTGCCATCATTGTTCATTGTCAATTAGTCAGTATTTCAATTGCATCACAAAAGATGGGCTGACTTCGGAAACTAGACAAAAATTTACATTTTTTTAAAAATGGAAAATGTGTTTTGAGCTTGAACTAACTTGCACACAAGAAAAAAAAAAAAAAAACCTTGAGAAAAGCAACATTTTCATGTACTGAAGCCTGCTGTACTTGATCTGCCCTCTGCGTTCTGGTCATGTATGCTGTCTCTATTTCACTTCCTTTATTTTTCACAGATTTAAATTTTACCTCAGGGACTTGGGAGGGAAGTGTATTCTCCTTAAACATATAACATGTGCAATAATTGTATCTACTGAAATCATTACTGGGAAGGACTCCATAGCCTCAATGTGAATGCAAAGTGATAAGAGCATTACCAAATATTTATTGGGCATCTCATGTGGGCCAGGTATGGTGCTATACACTGCAAATTCATCAGAGAACAAGACCACATGGTGCCTTTCCTCGTGGCTCTTGCAGTCTAGTATTGCAGACAGATCAGCAATGCAATGAAGTGTGATACATACCGCAATGGGAAACATATTTGGTGCTATAGCAATGCACAGAGCAGGTACTTAGTCAAGATTTGGGGAATCAGAAACACTTCCTGGAGAATGCCTATAGCAGATTCTTTTGGCTTAAAAAATGACAAATGTTTCAGAATTTATGCTTCTGATTTTGACTATAGCATTGTAATGAATTAGAATTCTGATCATCCACATGAGGTAATTAGAAAGCAAATTTATGGGTATGGGAAAGTATGTAAATTGGTGAGGACTGGCAGGGGAGTGACTATTTTAGAGGACACTGTTATAATGGTTCGATAAATTACAATTCTTATGACAAAGAAAAATGTAGCCAGCAATGCATATCTAATGTTGCTATAAAATACAAAGTTGAAGAAAAATTTGTGGATCAGTTGAGATTTAGGATCAAAAAGCAAAGGCAGGAAAAAAAGTCAGTTAAAGGTAGCAAAAGGAGTTTGAGATTAAATGTGGCTTTTACCAGTACATCCAGGGAGATGCACAGCTACACATTGGTAAGTAGATACAGTAAGTGAAAAGATACATTAAATTAATGGTTAATTTTAGGTGCTTTACAGAACCTTGGCTCATTTTAAAATCCTGATTTAGAAAAGATGAGCAAGAATGAGAACTATGAGAAAGCTAAGGAGTTATCAAGACATGTCAAAAATAGTTATTGACAATAAGAAGGCCAGGGAATTTTTTGAGAATTGGACATTTATAGATTGGCAGTTGCAATGACAGCTATCTTTATACGTAAAGGAACTTGTATAATGTATTGCCAAGACTATTCTCAAATTCCTTTTTAAACACTGACAACCAGCATCACATATGAAATTATGACTTAAAATAAATTTATTTGGTCAAATAAACCCAAAACCAAACCAAACAAGAAAAAAACACAGAGATCAGCCGCTTATCCGAAGAGATGATCCTAACCAAAAACTTAACGTGATGCTGCTATTCTCAAAGGTGTGATCTGGAAATAGCTATTCCATATGTTTGATGGTAATAGAATATTGAGGTGTGTGTGCTAAAACATAACAGAATAAACTTTTTGCTGGTTATAGCCACAAGAACCCCTGAGAAAGATGGGTCCTATTAAAGTGACGGCCTATTTCTCCACTGAGCATCTTGGAAATAGTTAATGGGGACAACTGCTCTTCATAATAGAGGGTGAGAAATCCAAAGCCCTGGTGACAATGGGGAGGGTCCGCAAGATGAATGCAAGGTAGATGAACAGAATTTGGGAGGCACAAGTACAGTGAGCAGCCACTGGCTGTAGGGGGACTGAAAGGACTTTTAAAAACAGGACTTCCTTATGGACAGTCTTCAGATGTTTGCTTATATGGTATGCCTTTCTATCTCAACCCGCTTCCCCAACGTTCCCATAAACTGTGGTTCACATACATACTTGACACTATATTTCTGTTTCAATTAGAAAACATTAGGAGAAATTTAAAGCATAATTAAATGAAGAGAAGATAGTATAATGAACCTTGTGTGCCCATCACCCAATGTAAGCCATTATATATGAGTTTTTTTAATTTGTGAAAACACAGGAGTAGAGTGAATATAAAATGAAGGAAGAGGTATAAAATACAGGACATTAAAGAGACTAGAGTGGCTGTAAACTATAAGCTCCCCGAGAAGCTGGAGAAATATAGGTGTGGGCTTTAGAATTTTACAGGGTGTGGAATACATTACCAATTTAATTGTACCCATATCTTAGGAGTCCGGATGGCCCTAACTGATATCTAAGTTGCATAAAGAAATAAAAACCTCTACCTATATTGACAAATCATGTAATAACTAGTAAACTTTAAGCCTGATTTCCCCCTACTCTCCCTAGCTCTGTAAACAGGTAGAAAATAGAGGTGTGGGGGTGGGGGTGGGGGGAGTGTATGGTTATGAGATTTTGTATCTAGAAAAATAGAGCTTCTAGATATAGACTAGAAAAACTATCTTGATTTATAGTCTTAGGCCCTTCTCCTGAATTCTTTCATACTGCCTGTGTCTTTTCTGAATAGATGTTTCTCTTTGTGGGGAAGAGGACATCTGCCCAAGTGAAGGCATTTAGTATTATTTTCCCTCTCATTCAGATTTAATTCTGTATGAGGAAAATAAGGTGGGGATAAGATGGCTGTTTTACCTTATAATCTTGGCAAACTTATTTCATAGTGTAAAGAGGAAAAAAAAAAAAGACTTCATTCTCAAGATCATTAAGAATTATGGCTGAATATACTTGAGCCCATAGTTTAGTTTTTGATATTTCTTAGCAATGCCAGTAATGGTTAGGCTCATAACATGGGCAAAATTACTAAGAATTCTAGATATAACCCCAAACTAGGGGAGTTATAAAAATGAAGTTTTCTTCATTTAAAAACATTTGTTTGAGAAAAATAAGTAAAATTAGAAAAACTTTTGTTTGAAGTTCTGTTTCACTTTCCCAATCATTTATAAATAATATATTAATAAACTACTGTATGCAGTTGATTCCAAATTGGGAAATGTAAGTGAAATAAAAAAAAGTAGCACATGTTAGCGGATCTGAAGTCATAAATAGGCTAAATAAATTAGCAAATTTGATTCAACTACTCAAGTGGGAAGTTATTTTGAGTGGAAATAATTTGTATTATTGTTTATTAAAATAAGGATTGTTTATGATAGATAACCTTTTCCAACATTTTTCTGGTTCTTTATGCTTCTACTGCTCTTTCTTGTTAATGGAAGCTATGACATCTTGAAATGATTGCTACTAAATCTGGACTTAAAATTCTAAGAAGTCCAGGATTTCTTAGACAGTCTCAAAAATAGAGCAAAGAGAATTTTCACCAGTAGGTAATGCTTAATGCTCATCCGAATGAATTTAATTTTAATGTGTTACCTATGACACAATGATGTAAGGCTCAATTCCATCCTTTTTTTCTCCTATATTCTCGGTCACTTTTGCGGGCCCTGATGAGATTTTGTGATAGGGAGACCTCTTTTCTTCCTCCTACCATCTTTGAAACAAAACTTCTCTCATCATCATATCTTTCTCTGATAATATCTTGTAGTTGTACATGTTGTGGACACCTCAATCTCAAGTAAGGAATTAAGATCCATGTTGCTGTGGCTTGAATGTGTCCCCTCCAAAATTCAGGTGTTGCCAGTGTTATAGTATTAAGAAGTGTGGGGTCTTTAAGAGGTGATTAGATTGGCTATAAGGGCCTCTCCCCCTGTGAATGGGGTTAAAACCCTTCTGAAAGAGGCTTCACACAGTTCTTGGCCCTCTTGTCCCTCTGCCGTCTGCCACATGAGGATAGAGCATTCCTCCTCTCAGGGGGAGGTTAAGATGATAAATAGGATCTGACATTATGGAACAAGAAGGTGAGGTTAGGCCAATTCAATACATAGACCACCTATATTTTAAAATGAGAGAAAAAGTTGTTTTTCACAAACAAACTGTATAAATGCTTTCATATTTCCAGACCTTGCTGGCATACAGCGGGATGACTGTATTTGAGATGTGGTGGTTATTTTGGAACTTGCTTTCTCTCTCCCCATGGACTGTTTACTGCCTAGTATGCTACCCCTAGCATTTTTTTCTTCTTCTGTTTCTTTGCTAATAGAAAGTCTTTCTACTCAAACAAACTCATCCAGTCTTTGCCATCTGCCAGCAAAGGTCAGCTGGGGGAATATGCCAGAATTCTCTGCCTATATTCTGCTGGTCCTGACTCCATGCTTCACGGAACCATCTTTATACTGTATTCCGACCACTGCTGCTTTTCTCATTCATTCCTCTCACCCTTCCAATGCCTTGTGCAGCTGAAACTGATTTTGACAACCTTGGCTTCCCCACCTGTAAGAGGGCTCTCTTCCTAAGATAGAGGTAGAAAATGATAGAAAACAGGTTTGCTAGTGGGTCTTTTTATGCCTTATTAATTGTCCATCCTCATAGTAATAATTTTGGCAATGAGCGTCTTTGCAAGAGAGTGAAGAAACACTAACCTTGTAACCCACGACTTCAGATTCATTGGCTAATGGTGTGACAGGTTCCCAGCCCAGAGAAACCTGAGAGCCTTGCTGCTCCCACCTGAGGTTGCTAGGTGCTTGACTAGGAGCTGCAAAATAAAAAGTGAAAGTGAACTGAAAGTGATTCTTCATTTCTTCACTTAAATCCTTGTGAGTATTTCAGTCTTTTCTTGTGTTGACTGGCACCAGAGGCTTCCTTCCAGCTGGAGTCAGATAAGGAGGGTTTTGCTTCAGGAGTGTCATTTTAATAGCTATTTTACTGAGCTTTTGAACTTGAATCCTTTTATCTCCCTTCTGTGTCAAAATCGCTTAGTCTTGTTTCACAGGAAGATAACCTTTATCTACTGTGAATGCAAAATTTTCTGAGCTAGTTTTGGAATTCAGACCTAAGCATTGAAGGAAAACTATGAATCAAAACTCCCCCTTTGACTCTGCTTATTATGTACTTCACATGGCTTGCAGAAATGTTAAATGACATTTCTCTTTTGTCTGAAATAAACAAAAAGTCCAGGTCACTTACGGGATTTCTTGGTGGTTGCGCTCACTTCACTGCTAGGTGGCCCGTAACCAGCTGCATTGTAAGCCCTCACTGTGAAGTGATATAAGGTATTTCCTTCTAATCCTGTCAGGATGATGGATGACTCATTCCCCCTAGTTTTCAGTGTTTCTGCTGCATCTTCTTGTTCCATGTCTTTCCAGTACCCAATCTGTCAACAGATTATCATACAACAGATTAATTTTAAAGTTTCTCCAATGCTGTGACTTTTTACACTTTTTGTCATTTTTTTGGATGTTGCTGGAGCCTATCCCGAGGAAGAGATCACTCTTGTATCACCCAATTAATAGGTCCTACTAATGAGGACAAAATTGCAGTCGTAGTCACTGCCTGATCTGTGTCTGTGTAGACTATGGCGCCACAGCACTCAGCAAAGCAACAAAAGGTGCTGCCTTGTAGCCTGGTGGTATGAAAGAGCAGAAAATGCATCCTGACATTAAGGGGAAAAAAAAAATCTGACATGAATAATAAAAGAGAAAATAGTCTGCCTTGGGCAGAAGTAATCAGTAGGAAGCAAAATGAAACGTGCAAATACCAAGAATTTGTTACAGGGGAGTTTAAGGGAGGTTGTATACTACAGAATAAGTACAGGAATATTTTCCCAAAAGAGCTAGAATCTATTGTGTTAACAGAAAATTTTTAAATTCTCAGAAATTTTAATAGCCAATATTATACTCGGGATATTAAGAATCCCTTGTAATTCTATACTTTTATTTGACAGAGCAGAACTATGTTTGTATTTATAGTGCAAATCAAAATCAGGTTATTGAAGTTTAGGCAAAACAGTAAAAAAAAAAATAAAAGAATCAGTCAAAATTGAAGAAGTGCTTTTCTCTCATAGATCATCAGAACCCTTTACTACTCAAAACCATGCAATTTTTAATTATCCGAGAAAGAGGCATGGTCACTGTTTCCTCCTGGGTGTCACTAAAAGTGAATCACACAAGCTGTATCAATTTAACGGAGAAGAGGTGCCAGAAAACTCATGATTCCTTGGTGTGATTTAAATGTAGACAAATAGCATTGCTAGAATAGGGGAGGTAGACGGACAGGAAGAGCTTTCTGTCAAAGCATAGTTTGTGCATTGAGATCATCTTTCCTGGTTATGAGCTCGTGGTGGCTGGTCTCATACCAAATTTAATTCCTTTGTGAGAATCAGTAATGGTCTCTGTGTAGCTAAGGCTTAATTCTGAGCACATTTTTAATAGGAAAAAAATCTATTTTTAAGCTACAAAATTGGTCAAGAAGTCATTGGATGAACTAACACATCTCTTTCCTTTCCAATGATATAACTGAATTCCTGTTCTCTGTTTCAATTTTCCTTAACTGGTTATATTATTTAAGATATAATTAAATACATATTTTGAGAGAACTGAGTATGATTAAATTAAACAAATTACAGATTTGATACAAATACAAGTTTCAATACAAATTCTGTACTTCTAAATATTGAATATTTTATGTTCTGATTAATCACCACAAAATTAAACCTTCCAAGTAAAAGACAAAATATATTTCCTAAGTAACTGACTGTGAGAGAAAAACAAATTCTATCTGTACCAGCTGAAACCAGAGGTTTGGATTTCCCTTTAGGGAAATCATATATTATTATTTTTAGCATATAGAATATTAAAAAAAATAAAGAATGGAAGAGTTACTAATTTATGATGAAATGATAATTTACCTTCTTTTATGTGGGAGAAGGTAAAACAAAAATAGTTGAAGTTTAACATAGTGCATCTTTCGTGATTCTTGGAATTGAGTTTTCATAGTATTAACAAGTAACACACACTTTTCTAAAGTTGAAACTTTTTCTTCGCTAGGTTTCTTTCCTCAGATATAGATTTCATCAACCCTTAAACTTTGAACTCTCTATTTGAAATCACTTGCAACGAAGTTAAAAACATACAAAAAATACAAATATTTACAACTGAAAAAATAGACAACCTACTATTTTCATATGCTCACACAATTGTTTTTTTTTGTATATCCCTTCCTATATTATTACACATACTTGATAATAATTCTGATAATATGTACACATAATTTTAGTCCCACTTTTATTCTCTAACATTATAGTTACATATAAGTATTTTCCCATTTAAAAAACTAACATTCTAGTATATGTCTATGTGCCCTATATTATTAACCCCTGTCCTATTGTGGAACGTTTGAGCAGCTTCTAACTTTGCTCTTTAAATTAAAATGTTGCAATGGATGTCTTTATGTATATAGTTTCCACATATTAATTAATTTTCCAGAACACATTCTAGAAAGGAGATTATGGGTTTCAATGTTTTAAAAATTTTTGTGTTTTTTGATACAAAACTGTCACACTGATTTTCAAAGAGTTTGTACTAATTTTCATTTCCAACAAAAATGTATGAATCTAAGAATTCACCATACTTTTGCATCAAAGAGAGAATCTTGAAAGCGGCAAGAGAGAAGTGTCAAATCACCTATAAGGGAGCTCCAATCAGGTTAACATCAGACTTCTCAGCACAAACCCTAAAGGCTAGAAAGGAATGGGATGATATATTCAAAATTCTAAAAGACAAAGATTGCCAGCCAAGAATACTCTACCCTGCAAGGCTGTCCTTC